AACCACGTAAGGCCCCAATAGGTTAGGTGTGGTATTGGACCGGACTACAGTAAACCTGCCTGCCACCAAAGTTGGGTGGCGGTGACTGGGCTCGGACCGTAGGATCCAAAGCATGCCGGTGACAGCGACTAAACCACTACGCCGCCACCACCACGTTGATTCGATGGGTGACTGGCGATCGTGTTCGATCGACGTACTGATGAAGTATACATTAGGAGTCCAGTTCGTTCCAATACGATCAGACTGCGCTTTCTCGTGGTTTGGTGGCTTGTGCACCTCTATGACCCAAAGAGTCAGTGGGTGGATTTTGTTAAACCGAATATGCGATAGTGCCTGAGAGGTCGGTGTGCTTCCCGAATGGATCAACGAGTAACACGTAACCCAAATCGGATCCCAAAACGTCAATCATCACATCCGGTGTATAAGGGTTCACCAGGGAACTTGGGGAAGAAAGTATGCAAAAGTTAATACTGCCGTTGTGAAACTGCCTGGCAAAGAAGCGCTACATCATATTCACTACGTCATATTCGCCTCCTCTACATATTGTGCTATGGCCCCATCAGTGGAGCACTACCTGACAAATCCATAAACCCAAAGGAAACTAGACAAAAGCCAAGATCCGGGACCATTGGGCTTAGTCTGAAACCCATATATTGCTTCAACGTTTCCAGATTTGGGAACGGGCTGGTGTAACGCAGTTAGCTGATCATGAATACCCAAAGAAAAGTTCGGGGCGAGGATAAGTTGCTGACCAAACTTTAATTCTCATCAAGAAAACGCTTTGTAACTAAAAATGTATATATGGCCTGTTTTTCTTTTAATGAGCTATAATTAGCAGTACTCCATATTGCATCCTCCATGGCAGGTAACGAGGGCTACGCCAGCGCTGTGGAACGGGCGAAGCAGGTTGGCGGCGTTTTGCTCTGACTGTGTTCATTTTTCTGTGTAGGTCGCGTCTAAGTTTTCTATGTCTGATGACGGTTCCACGACCAATGGAGGCATAGCTGGCATGAAACGCCCAGCTCAGGACGATAATTCATTTGCTACAACTGAAAAACGACCTTTAGTTATGGATAAAGTTGCTGCTGCTGCTGAGGCTGCCGCCCGTATAAATCAAAAACTGGGCGGAGCGCCTCCGAATCAGACTCCTCCTAGCAATCCCAACGCAAATGCTAATGCCAATCCGTCTCAAGCAACGAGTCGGATAATATCTACCGAAACTTCGATCCCTGATAGATATGTTGGCCTCGGTAAGTCCGTGTCTCAATCAAGGGTATGTTTTTAGTCATTGGTAAAAAGGGCGAGCAGATCACTCAGCTACAGAATGATTCTTGCTGCAAGGTGCAAATTTCTCAGGGTAAATTCTACTTTGTCTTAATAATCCCCTTAAGCTGGCACACCGGAACGCACGGTGACCCTGACTGGAACAGCGCAGCAAATAGAGTACGTTACTGTTTTTGCGTTTAATGAGTTTTAGACATGCCAAGCAACTCATAAATGAAATTATCGAGCGTGCAGACAAAAACGGCCCACCTGCACCTTCGGCATACTATAACTACGGGAACGTTACCACTATTGAAATGATGGTACCCGGCATGAAGGCTGGACTGATTATCGGCAAGAGTGGCGAGACTATTAAAAACTTGCAAGAAGAACATGGTGTCAAAATGGTCTTGATTCAGCAAACCAACAGTCCAACGCTAGAGGATAAGCCCCTCCGCATTACCGGGGAAGCCCAGCGCGTGGAAAAGGCGAGACAGGCTATCATGCACCTGATGAATTCCCGCGATGTAAGTTCTTCAACTGTTCAACTAAAATTTCTCTAGCGTGGGGGACCAATGTCGCACATGTACAGTGGCCAAGAAACTTCACAGTATGCTGTACCTGCGGAGAAAGCCGGCTTGGTGATCGGAAAGGGTGGTGAATCAATCAAGGAAATCTGCCGGGTTAGTGGTGCGCACGTGGAAATCTCTAAGGAACCACCGCCAGACCCTACCATCAAGATATTCAATGTTCGAGGAGAAAGGCACGAAATTGAACAAGCTATACGGTAATGAACGTTACTATTTATATGTCCGTTTTCGTTATCCTGTTATATTGCGGATACTATCACGCCGTTATTTCCCTTTCATTTTGTTACCCGTCCTTGTTACTGTCGGTATATGCCTATGCACGCCATTCGTATATCATCTATGCCTGGTCACCCATTACTGGATTCCGGATCTACTCAACGTAATCATTATCAGGATGATCTCAGAGCGTGCTGGTATTCCTATGACGCGGCCAACAACGGCCAGTTCTGCTGCACCCGGTCCTTGGGGTCAATACGGCTACGCTCAACCAGGTGAGCCAAACATTTTTTGTGTTGTCAGCTCGTGTGAAAGCACGCTGCTGGCACTCCATTTCGCGTGGCAGTGAACTGGGACGGGCGGACTAATGGCGGCGATAGCCCTGATGCGTCGGACCTGTTAGGTGACTTGGGTTAAAACCCTGTCAGTAATCGTTAATGTACTTCACAACTGTAAGTGAAACTCAGAAACCTCTCCCTTATAACAAACGTAATGGGGTTGTTGACCGGGTCTCTTGCGACATTGATCGTGCCCATGTACCTCTAATGACTTTGACCCTTTAGCAATGAATCAGTCTTTGGTGGCGTTTGCTTTCTCGTATTTCGGCACCTATTCTTCAACCCAAGGGTTATATGTCCAAACTTAATCTGTCGCTAAAAACTCATCAGTTTTGTGTTTCTATCCAAATATCGTCGACTACGGACCACTGGCATACGAAAACGCTTCACGTCAAGATGAGGCTCCTGCAGTTGGCCAATGTGGAAGGCACATTCTGACGGCTATATGGCAGTGAGTGTCCTATTAAACTGCTCAGCTAGTTGATCCATTCCAAACTCCCCTTTACATTCAATTCAGTTAATGCGTGGGTAGTGACTGAAAATTTAATATCTGGACATTGCATCACGCCACGTACAACATTTTTCAGATCCTTGGAACATGGGTGCCGCGAACGGAGCTCAAGGAGGAGTGGCCGCTGGAATGCCGCCCCCTACGTTCAATCCGTATACAGGCCAACCCGATTACAGCGCAGCGTGGGCTGAATACTATCGCCGTCAGGGTATGCCTGAGTATGCAGATGCCATATTGAGACAAGCACAACAACCGGCGGCGACGACAGTGCAACCCGCCGCTCAAGTTCCGTCTGCCCATATCCCCCCTGCACAACCCGCTGCGCAACAGGCTGCTGCACCCACTCCAGTACCAGTACAAGGACAGCCAGCGGCTCCCGGTCAAGTAAGCTAAATAATTTCACTTAGTCCAATTCGTGTGCATATTTCCGCAATTCAGCTGGTTTTTATGTCGTTGCTCTGCCTTACCACGGTTGCTGTGTTGATTAGCTGCGGCAGGCTACTGTGTTCTCATAGTTCCCATTTTCGCTAACATTCAAGCGTTTCATGCCGATCAAAATTTGTAACAAAGGTTACGGTGATTTTTATTGGTGCAGTTTTGTCAATTCTCCGCCATGGACTTCAGTTTAATGTCTGATTTGTCATCGCGTGACAAGTATGGCGGGGGATATCGAAGTATTCCAAAAGTAGTAGCGCGGAAACCAACCAGTGTGAAGAAGTCACCGTCTTCAGTGCTTCATAGAACTTGGGAGCCTACCACGTTCCATTTTTTCTATCACTTGTTTGTTAATGAACCTACAATCCGAAGTCGGAATTCCACGATTGTGGTTCCTATGAAGACGTAATTTATGCCCAATCTTGTAACTGGCTTGTGAGACAAAACAGGCGAAAACCGGTAGCTGTGTTGATTCTCACTTCGGTTACAGATTTCAGCAATCTAAGTCTGGGACTTGTAAATATTAAGCTACACAAAGCCTCAGTAGAGCACGCAGTGTTGAACCAAGAAACATCGAGGCTGCATGCAGCCAGTGTCAAGCGGCATAGTTGGTCTGATAAAAACGGACATAGAGCATCGAACGGAAGGGGACACTTTCGTTCAGGTCTACTAGGACGCAAAGCGCAGGCGCAACTTGCGCCCAGTTTTTCTGGTAAGCCCCAACTTACCGATCGTCTCGTGTGCATGACTTGAGACAGATTCGTCGATAAGCATTGTTGTGCGGTGTTCGTACTTCTGTGCATCCCATTACCACCTTTCATCCATTTCTGCCTTTTCCAGTACGATTACAATCCGTGGCACCAGTGGCAGCAATGGCAAGCTTGGACTCAGGCATGGCAACAGCAGTCCGGAGCACCCAGTCAACCCGCTTCTGGAGGGGCTCCCCAGCCACCTGCAATGCCCGCTGGCGCTCCTGGCCATCCTCCTATGCCACAACAATAACGACCTTGTACACTATTCAAACAGGACCTGTCTGCCTAACGCCGTTAGGAAAGTTTTACTACATTCGTATGATCCTCGGTTTTATGTTTTCAAGTGGGGATAAATGAACATACGTTTTGCAGACTTTAGTTTTTCCCCGTACTGGGAGGGATACGGTTATGTCCTGATCGGATTTCAGGTAGATCTAAGGTAGTGTCGCTTATTGTCAGTAACGATCGGTAGCGACAGCTTTTGTGGCCCAGTGTAGATGCGCTTTGAGGGCTTTGCCCGCCATTGAGTGATGAATCTACCAAGTCCGGTTGTGATGCCCAATTTCTCCGGAGTCTTGTGTTGTATTTTTCAGCGGAGTTTTTCTGTTTTTGCATATCGAAGACTATAAGTTGTCACTTCGGCGGATTTCGTCACCTGAACGAAAGACAGTGGTAGTTGGGCTGCTGTTGCCAATGGTCCTTCATCTTGTTCCATCAGAATCCATCCTGGAGTGTGATTCGCCTTCAGCTTGATTACTTTCGCAGTGACGTTGTGCGGAGCACCCTCTTATTCGGTCCCGTTATTCGTTATAGAATTCGAATCAATAAGATCATAGCTCATCTTAACCCAATGCGTCCTGTGCTATTTGCCATGGACGGTGATTTTCATTCGGTGGTTTCTGTTAGGTGTCTGTAGTCTGCATACCTGGTTGGGTGTGTCCTATAGGCAGGAGATCGTTCCGCTTTTAGTTTATCAGCGTGTGTTCGAGATTGGAA